ACGGCCAGCAGAGGGTTGGGTTCCGTCAGGCTCTCTTGCCCAAGAAACACCACTTCTAATGAGGTTGCACTACATGTGGTGCCCCTACGACCCTCATGGGTTAGGAGATTCGCGTGCGATTATTACTAATATTGGTTTTATTAGTAGTCGTAAATACTATATTAGTATTATTATTAATATTGGGTTTATTATTAGTAGTAACTAGTATATTAGTGTTATGGGTCCTAACCTATAACTACAGAATGAATTCTTCCTAACACTATGTATACTACCCCTCTCAAGAGAGAGGGACGAATTAAGCCGAGCTTCTCGGCTTGACGGTCGAACTCTCTGCCTCTGAGCAGAGAGGAACCTGGACGAGGCTCCGCCGAAGGGTAGAGCCTCGTTCGGGGAGGTTGACCAACCCGTTCCCGTTTATATTTTTTGGCCGAGCCTACGGGCTCGGGAAATCCACATTAAACTTGACCTTGTGCCACATGCAACCCTCGTGGGGGGTGGGCTAGATACCGAATCGAGTCGAGCCAATAGTCGTTCACTCCAAACCAGACTGACAGTCATACTAACATCTTTCACATCTTGTATTATTATTTCGTGTAATATACCTTCGTTATTTCTACTCTTGTGTTCCTGTTGTTCTTCCTTGGTCCTAACCTGGACCATAACAATTAGTATCATTACTAATATTAGGTTTATTAATAGTAGCAATTATTTTAATAGTATTATTAGTAATATTGGGTTTATTCGTAATAATAATTAGTATATTAGTATTATTAGTAGTAATTAGTATATTAGTATTAATATTAATATTTGGTTTATCCGTAGTAGCAATTAGTATATTAGATTTATTACATATATATTAATATTGGATTTATTATAATTGATGTGGGCCCAAAGTTGGGACCACGGAAGGAAAACACGGAACATGGATTAGGGGTAAGAAAGATATATTAAACAAAAAGGTTACAAAGATAGTGTAAGTGTAAGCGGAGCTTACTATGTGCTAGTGTCCAATATTGGTAGTCGTACGCGGCTGATACTACGGTATTAGAATACTCTCTCTCTCCTCCTCCTCTTCTTCTCTCTAGAGTGTTATGTCGCATACTTTATATAGTCCTGGAAGAGTCCATGTTGTAGGTATGTTACGGTCTCACAACAATAATTTACTTAGAATAATAAAATAATCTTACGATAAAAGTGCTGTCACAGATTGGATTTTGAATAAAATGTTGACCAATTATTGTATGATATATTTGATATTGTTTTAGAACCATTAGTTCCTTAGTGTAGAGTACAATGCACTAGTATAGATAAGGTTTTAATTTCTTTTAAAACGTGCTTGATGTTTATGAAACTTGATCACTTGACCATACCAGAGTGGGATGAAAAGTTCATAGACTGACTATGAAGGAATGATGCTAGTGCTGTGAAATACTACATGAATTTCAACTCTTTTTTTTAAATTAATAACTGCATAATTTCTTTCTTGAAACTAACATCTGACTGTTCAAATAAGACATAAAATGTTACCCGTAGCGACTTCTCTTCAAAATGGACAAAATATGGTATAATGAATTACCTACAGAAAAAGGGTTTAACATTCTAAGACTTTCATGCTGATATGGTTGCTGCATGAGAGATCAGGTACCAGCTTTATCAACAGTGCAAAAGTAGGCAGCTAAATTTCTGAGGGGAACGGAGATTCTTTAAAATGACCCAAAGTCTGGACATCCTGCAATTTCCACCACCGAGGAAAACATTGATCATGGTCGCCACATGGCGATAGATGACAGGCGATTGTCTATAAATCAAATAACCAATACTATTACCCTATACTAGGCGAGAGTTGAGAATATTCTTCTCAATGATCTTGGACGGCCGATTCTGCTTGGTGGGTGCCACGTCTGATCAAACTCACTGCAGTCTGTTCAAATCACTGAAAAATCTGACATTGAAGCAAATCCAGTCGGTTTCCTAACCCAGGATGAGTCTTGGGTCCATCACTTTAAACAATAGACAAAGAGAAAATCTATACAATGAAAACACCTCTCCACGCCTGCTCCAAAGAAGACCAATGCCGTTTCATCTAGAGAGAAGGTGACGTGCTCAGTTTTGTGGATGTAAAAGGCATTGTCTTTAATGTCTATTTTCAAAAGAGCCACACCAGCAATGAAGATTACTATTCCAACATACTGACACAGTCACGAAAGGCTATCAAGACCAAAACCCCATGAAAACTAAAGAAAGGGGACTTGTTTGCTCAGGACTACGCTTCAGAATACTTTGTTTTGATAGCTAGTGTGCGTGACTGTAGTTTTGAAATTGTTCATCACCCTCCCTATTTTCGTGATTTGACTATCATCTGTACACAAACATTAAAAAGTACTTGACCGGAAGACAGTATTGCAGAGATGGTGACATCATATCTGCTCTCGTGACAATTTGATCAACAGGATGAACCGTCTTCTTTGAACAATCAAATATCAGTTTACTCGGAAGAAAACAATGCCCTTATTAATAAGAAGCTGAAATTAATGCATGCAAGATTCCACAACTCTAGCATTCCTACTTCACAGTCAACCTATGAACTTTTCAGTCTAACTTCATACCTGAACAGCAACAATGCAGTTATTAATAAGAAAAGTTGAAGTTAATGCACGTGTTGTATATTTCTACTGGATTCCAATAAAACGATGAAAACTTATATATAAAAATATATAAACAGCTTTATTGCTCCAGTTGCAGTAATTGGACTGTGTGAGGGAGAATCACAGAGGTTAAGATTGTGCATACAGGAATTGACGGAGACAAAATCTTCAATCAAACTGTAGCCAGCCTCTCTGCCAGGCCAAGAGTTGGACCATTTTTATATCATTTGGACATCCACGCGTCTTCACATGGTTATGCCTTCTTCCGGTATGTCGCGCATGTAATTTCTTATGGCCATATCTCTTCTGGCCACGTACCCACGGAACTTCGTGTAGCCACGCCTCTTCCGGCAAGTGCTCGCGCAAGCACGCATTTCTTTTCGCTCAGTCTATCTTTGCACCCTGTTTATTCAAGGCTCAGAGCATCTGTGCGTCCCGTTTATTGTAGCCGTTTCCTGTTTATGCTATCACACATTCCGACTTTTCCTCACTCTCTGATGCAGCGGAAGTGAGGTCAAAGGTCTTCCTCAACCGATATCCAACACATGCAAGATTTCTCTCTTCTAAGCATCTTTCCTTCATAGTCAGCCAACTTCTTACATGAAAAGAAACAATGCCGTTCTTAATAAGGGTTTAAATTAATGCATGCTCGGTTTCACAGTTCTAGCATCCCTCCTTCATCGTCAGCCTATGAATTTTTATCCACTCCCTTGTACCTGGACAGAAACAATACAGTTACTAATAAGAATATTTAAAATTAATGCATGCTCGGTTTCACAGTTCTAGCATCCCTCCATCATAGTCAGCCTATGAACTTTTCAGACCAACTTCGTAGAACCAAAACTTCCAGTGCTTTTTCAGATCTCAGTGTAGAAATAAAAACGGAAGGAGTACCAGCTGATGTAATATGCTGTTTGTAAAAACAAAGGCGAGGAGATTTCTCTGAAGAAAGGCAAGCTTTGTTATAAAGGTAAGTAAGAACGTCTCGTTTAGGCCATTTTTCTAGATCAGGCAACCCGAAAAGATGGATCTGATGGGCTCAGAACAGTTATTATCGGAAAAAGTGAAATCGGGAACGCAGTGTTCAAATTCTAGCCTCGTTTACTTTTTCTTTTTTTTTTTAATAATTTCACATGATGCAAAGTCCAAATCTACTCAAAGATTTACAGAATTAAGTTCTTTCATGAACCCTCGAGAGGGGGTAAATAGTGCATATTATAAGAATATGTAGGATAGGTAAAAATTGACCTTCGACTTGAAACGGTTAAGCATGTCGTGATCGGTGAAGCCATTTAGGAGCAAGATGTTCGAAAGAAACCTTTTGGAGAGAGGAAGCCAGAAAATTATGCAGTATCTCGAAGGAGGGTCATGATATGAAATGTACTAGACTATATTTTCCAGTCATCAGACCACTCCGTCCAGAAGCCTGCGTTGATCTGAATGTTTAAAGAAAGTTAATGTTATATTATTTAAACAAGGTTCCTTATTTTACTGCAAGAACATCAGGACAATAAATATCACAATAAAAACAATGTAGTTTATTTGCAACAAACGAAATACAGTTAGGAATCATTAATGGCAAATTATTTAATGAGACACTGCTTATTTATTGTTCGATAACTTATCCCCATCAGATGAAAGATTTGTCGGTGACAGGAGCAAAGTAACATCAAGGTGGTCATCACCCAACTTTGTTCTTAAACGACTTTAAGCATATGTCGTTTTCGAAATAAGTTGTTCAAAGGTATATGTACTTCGAAATAATGATACCATTATGGCGTCTCGCGGTCTCTGACTGCGCACGCCTCCTGTCGAACTCTCTGCGTTAGCAGAGAGGAACCCGGACGAGGCTTTGTCGAAGGGCAAGGTTTCGTCCGGGGGGTAGACAGGCCTGAACCCGTCTAATCGGCTTCAAAAGGCTATTTTTTGGGCCGAGCCTACGGGCTCGGAGGAACCCACAATAAAACCGGCCTTGTGCCATATTCGTTTCCCGTAGGTGAAATGATAAATACCGAAATAATGATACCATCATTTCGCATTATTCAGTAAGCTTTCATATTTTCCGCTTGGCAAAAAGAAATATTTCTTGCAGAAGTCAGCAGTGGATTCAGATTGAAATTTTAGATTTCAATAATTCGTCGGATTGTGTAAGCCAGTTAAATCCAATTGATATTTTACTGCCATTTACTCCGCAACTCAATTAAATGATTAGTGTCCAGGTTGGCGGACCGAACACAAATCCTTCGCGTGCTGGATGTAGACCTGGGTTGTCCGACCTACATCCTTCGCGGGCTGGATGTAGACCGGAGTTGTCCGATTTACATTCTTCGCGGGCTGGATGGAGGCCGGGGTTTTTCAATCAATACGCTTCTCGGGCTGGATGTAGGCCGGAGTTGTCCGACTTGCATCCTTCGCGTGCTGGATGTAGACCTGGGTTGTCCGATCTACATCCTTCGCGGGCTGGATGTAGACCGGGGTTGTCCGACTTTCATCCTTCGCGGGCATGATATAGTCCGGGGTTATCCGATCTACATCCTTCGCTGGCTGGATGTAGACCGGGGTTTTTCGATCAATACGCTTCTCGGGCAAGATGTAGACCGGGTTTGTCCGGCCTACATCCTTCGCGGGCTGGATGTAGGTCGTGGTTTTCCGACCCTTGTTCTAAACAATGAATTACCTGAAGAATGAGGCCGTGTTCGCTATTGCAATTATGACGTTTTGTTTTATGAAAATACATTTAATTCACAGCATTTATGGTGGAGGGCTACCTAATGAGATATGCGATATGAATTAAAGAGAAGGTTGAAAGAAATGAAAATTATGGCGATGAAGATGATAGATAGTAGTTGACACTTGACTTGAATAGAGTAACATTGGAATGTTCAGGGAAGCACCGCCTGTGCGATTTTTGGATTTTTTTTTTCAAAATTAACAGGATTTATAGAAAAGCTGAGTTGAACTTCCATCTTGGAACTGTAATGCAAAGGACATGTGGATGATTTGAGTCCGTGGAAGTATCATCGCAATTTCTGGATATAAATGCCTGAAAACGTGGGGTGAATGAGTTGCTATGAAGCTCTACCTTGGGAAACTCATCAGTCAATTTTTATTGTGCAAATGTTAGTTGAATAGCAGAATAGACTAGACTCTCATGTATTGGATTGATTGATGGTTATTTAAGATGAGAAATATTTTCATTTAAAAACAGTAGTATAAGGAACAGGATGTCACCCCACTAGCTTTTCCATTGGCAAATCACAGATCATAAAAATAGTCATCTTATGCTTCAGTGATTCTGTGAGAAATGGCAGTTAGGGTATCAGCAGTGGACCAACCAGATTCAAACCCATATTGATTGTCGCTCAGCTTTCTTGTTGATGATAATCTGAAAGAGTTTGCAAATTACCCTAGGGCAGCTGATGGTCCGATATTGATACGGAGGGTGAACGATCAACCGAATTCTTGAATACATGCCATACGCATGACAACATCCAGAGAAAGGTTTCTCCTTCAGGCAATGGTTCAAAAATTTTCCCAAGATCGGACGATGATGTAATAAATGAAGAAAAAAACACATCATTTAATATTTGACTATTTTTTCCTGAGATTTTCCAGTTATGATGGAACGTATCACCATAGATGAAGCTCCATTCTTTGAACGTTTCTTGGGTTTCAAATTCACTTTAGAACTTGCTAAAGATGCTGAAAAAACGACCCGAAACATTCGATCGCTCATGGAAATATTTGATTCCTTCTGCCTTCTAGAAGAATCAGATTAGACAAAGAAAATATTCGTATTGCTGTCATAACTGTCTTGGAACTTCAAAATGCCCACTTTTCTTGATAGAATTCAAAATCCTTTAAGTGGTCTTGAGAATAACAACTTGTCTTCCACTCTACCACCTCTTTCCCACAAACGTAAAGAACGTTATTAACTCGGAATTTCGAATTTAGATTAGGACATGCTACTTTCCCGGAGTCGAATCACCCTCATTTGCACCGTGTTTCAAATCTAAAGAGAATATTCACTCCAGAGACATTTATTCAGAACTGCCATTTTGTGAAAAGTCGCGTGTTTAATTCTCTGAAGACTTATGTCTTGATCTCTTGAAGCCATATTTTTAATTTCATCATTAATTTCCATTCACATTTTTACCTTCATTCTCCAAAATTGACCGTCATAATACCTTGTAGTAGGGAATTAACCTAGAGGGGAATGTTTTGTAATGCCAAAACAGATAATGAAAAAAGTTGTGAATTAACA